TGGGCGTCGCTGAATGGACAAACGAAACCCATCTCACACAGAGGAGCAAAAGTACGTGGGAGGAGTTCTCTGATGTGTCAGTCTTCAGTATTAGGTCCAAGTTCAAGAGATTGAGAGAAGAGAATCTAACAAACGCCTTTGAATAGAAAACTGATGTAACAAACATTTCGTCCTCCACAAAAGATGTAATTTCCTCTGAGCCGCTGGTTCTTTCTTCAGAACAGACTCAGTTTCTTGCACAATGTTTTCAAAGTCCTGAAACTCATGATGATGTTGAGCTGATGAGTCAAAACATGAAGTATTTTGTTATTTGTGAAACCCAGTATTACTTCACGCTCCGCATTTTCACGCAGGCGGGAGACTGATCTTCTGATATTCCCACTCAAACTTCGTTCTGTCTTTATTATAAACCCCGATACCCACAGTAATATCTCTTGTAGAACTTTTCTCATTTCGACGTCCTCTCTCTGTCCCAGTTTACAGCGCTGTGGCGTTGTCTGCAGTCAGTGGTCAGGTGCTGTGGAGGAAGGTCATGGCGGAGTCTGTGATGTGCATCCAGTGTGGTCTGCAGTACAGCTCGCAGCCGTCGCCTGTGTGTCTCCTCATCAGCAAATCCATCCTCATGGCAGTCAACGGCACCACAGGTTAGAACACAAGCTCCTCACGCGGACAAAACAGCAGACAACTACAAACCTCTCCACCTTCTGTTGTCGCTCTCAAGCAAAACAAGGTCAAAACGGTTTCCTTTCACTCCCCAGGGAAGAATTTGTCGTCAGTCCAGATGAAGAACATTGAATCCCAGGCGGTGTTACTTCCAGACCTGCAGGGCGACTCAGTCCCGGATCTGCTCATCGCCACCCTGCCTGCAGATGAGGTACAGCCACAGATATCCACAAACATGTCTCCCCTGGCATCAAACATTTGTGAAACTAAGTCAACTCAACCTCTGCAGTGAACTGAGAGTGAGCTTTAAATGCTGCATATACAAGATTTAAAGATTGATATGCAGCAAGATGTGTTAGACTCTGCAAACAAAACTCCTTCACACACAGCACGGTTGTCAGGGGCAGGCTGAGGTCACGCAGGCTTTAGAAAGCAGGGATCAAACCACCGACACTCTGGTTAATGAAAGACCCACTCTACCTCCAAAGCCATTTTAGTGAATAGTTAAACTTTGGTCTTTTAAAAATAGATCTAAGATTGAGCAATGCAAATTACACATCCAGTAACTCCTAATCCTACTGATCAGGTTCTCACGTCCAGGAACCACAGGCTGATTTCTCCTGTTTGCGTTTCCAGGCCTTGGATCTGTCCCTGACTTTGATCTCTGGACTGACGGGGGCGCAGCTCGGACGTCCCGTGCCGTTCAACCTCACTGGACAAGGAAAGCTGATCGGCCCTCTGCTGCACGAAACACAGAAAGGGGCCTTTTACATTCTGTTTGGACTCGGTAAAATATTAAATCTAAAATGTACAGACACCACTCTCGAAAAGACTCTTTGTGACTTTGTGTCTCTGTGTCCTCAGGGAACGTGGAGGCCATCTCTCTGCGTGACATTTACATCCGTGCCACTGGGAAAATGCCCGTAACACAAGCTCTTAGAATCAAAGATCCGAAGTGGGAGGAGCTCAGGAAAACCAATTCCTCGTCCTTCATAGACATTTACAGGTTCGCCTCATGAGGGACATGTGTCTCTGGTTAGACTGTACAGACGTCTCTTTGTCTGTTAAACACTTAATCATGTTGCAGAGACACAGTTACAAAACCTGCTGCAGGCGTGTTACTTGAACTATACATACACAATACACACATATCATCCTAAGTAAACGTACACAGTTAGAGACACTGCAGCGATATCTTCCCCGTATGACTGAAATAATAAATATCGTCTCTCTAGGGGATCCGAGCATGTGGAGTTCATGCTTCCCCTTGTGGCCGGGTTTGGCAACAACCGCAACGCCCTGGACACAGTTTCGAACCTGAACTCCACCAGAAGCGACTGGGTGCTGGTGTACGGCTCCAGCAAACTGTCTGTCCTCAGGCAGAGGGACATGCACAAGAAATGGACCTTCAGCTCACCCCCCATCCACAGGTGAAGCTCTCGATCACAACGACTGAGGGAATAATTTCAGTCAAACCCAGATGAGTTAAATGTGAGAAATTTGAACAATATCCTTGAAAATATTTTTTGTCCTGTCGTAGCCAACCTGCCGCGGGACACTTCAGCGACGATGGAGTCCTTGATCTGTTCTTTCAACATGCAGCAAACGGTGTGATGGAGGTAAATATCAGCGCTGCACAACATTTCTCTTCTTTCTTTAGAAAATATTCACTTTGTGTTTGCTCTCCTCGTCTCTGTCAGGCACAGGTCATCGATGGAGCAACCGGGGTTCTTCTCTGGTCCGCAGAGTTTGTGTGTCCTCGACTCGTTTTGCAAACTTCTGCAATTTCCACCTCGACTGGCCAATCAGCTTTCCTCTTTTGGGCTAGCGAACCCATCAACGCACTGAAGAATGTTAGCAAGACAACCGTGAGTCTGACACAAGAAGATCATTGTTGCCATATATAAAACCTGTTGTCTTTGAGTTTGAACTGTCCTTATTGGCTGTTAGGTGGCGCCTGGTGTCGCCGCAGCAGAGCCGCTCATCAGAAAGCTCTTCCTGCTGCATCCTGTGTATCCCACAATCCTGCTGGAGCTCGCCAGTACCACAGACACCACAGTCACCTCCGCAGGTAAAAGTCGTCACAGTTCAAATGTCCTCCAGCTGCACAACACTGTAGAACCACATCTGTATTATACACAGATTCTGTGTCATAACCAATAACGTCCAACATCTGGTGCCACACCCCTGACCGCTTGTTATCCAAATTAATGATCAGCAAGTTGTGTTGAAAAGTATTTCAGTAGTTAATGAGTGAAGGATCCTGCCTTAGTGGGGTCAGGGTAAAAAGTATGTTCAACTAATCAACGTGTTCTATTTTCTCCAACTTCCTGCTTTGACAGTGAGTTATCAGGAGCATCTGAAAGACGCCTCCTACATCACCGTGTCCTCCCGGCCCACGCCCGACTCCGAGCCCAGCGCTCGGATAGTGAAGCGCATGAGCCTGAGAGCCGCGATCATCAAAGCACAAATTGTGAGACTGGGGGAAAGCAACAAGACGGGCACATCCACCAAAACCGACGCGTTCGAGGTCAAGACGTTCTTCCGGTGTCTGTCCTTCAAGCGTCAGGTGAGAAAGTGTGAGACGGTCAAACGAGGTAGAAGAGCAGCATTCAGTCACAAAGCTCATCGACGATAACTCTGTTTCTTTCTTTTTGTCCAGTGACGAGTCACCGTGGTTACCCCGCGTCACATGAAGCGGTACGACTGAGAGGAAGCTCATGTTACGATGAAAGGGAGGAAATCTGTGGATAAGCTCTGCACAAGGACACGATAAGAATCCATCTGAGGCTGTTCACAGGCTTCTTACTAAGTTCACTTCTGCCGCCTGATCAAGAGACTTGTTTGAGTTTTGCTTTTATTGTTTTGGTTCAGATGATGTTTGGAGAATGAAAACGCTTATTTAAACTATTTAATTCAGCCTGCACAGTTTAATTGAATGTTTCTGATGTGGATGGCAGGACATTTACTTTGAACAGTAGTTTATTACTGACTGAAGAACATTTTAATGTGTTTACAGTGTGCATCACTTCTTCATCTCCCTCCTCCGAGGCCAGTATATTCCTGTGGTGTAATCCTCATGTGTTTTGTCATATAAGCCTTTAACAGTGTTCTTTTTGTTCATCAATAACTTTAGAAGTATAGGGAGTCTGTAAATATTTAATCCTGTACAGTATTTATTGATTTGCTTTACTGTTTTGAAATGTTTTTGTTGGGTTGATCCTGTCAGATTTCGTATGGTTATATAATCAACCACTGCTTATTTTGTGGCTGCTAAAAGGTACGAGATTAAATGTGAGCCGCAAACCTCACATACGGCAAGAGAAAGTATGAAAATCCCTCCTGCGTCCTGTGTCCTTTATTTCAAGTGTCGTTCCAGAGGCTCAAAGGTTTTGTATTCATTGACCGGTGGTTCTCAGATCAGATCTGTTTGTTAAAATTAAATATTATGGGTATTTAGTGGAAATAGTTATTTCTGGTAAGACAGTTGTATTTATTTGTTTGTCTGTTATTTAGCTGGATTATAAAAAAAACTACTGGACAGATTATCATGAAGAGATGAGGTCTTTCTTTTTTTTTTTACATTTTCCTTAATTTCTCAGCCAATAATTTGTGGAACTGGATCAAAAAATCTTTTATATGAGAATTTATATTTCTATCATTGTCAACCTGCCTCCTTAAAGCAGCACAGGGTGGCGCTGTTGCTCCTCCAAGTCCAAAAGCCTCTTCCCTTTTCCGCATTGCTGATGAACCAGAAGACGTAAACATGTCTCCGGCCCTCGGTCGCTTGGTTTCCCGGCTGTCGGCCCTCGGACCGGCCCGCGCCCCGCTGACCCGCAGCCTGGGGCCGGGCAGGGCGGTGACACTGTGCCGGACGGCCGTGTGCTCATCGTCCGGAGCCATCCTGCCCAGACCCAGGAAGGTGAGTGTTGATGCGTTGGTGTGTGTTTGTGAGCAACAGCTGCACATCTGTTCACCTGCACCTTCTCTCTCACCTCTGGAAATGTGTAATAACTTATACAGACATATTCCTATTGGAGGTGGGAATCACAGGTTAATGAACGATACAACACATGGTCCTCCATACTATCACGATACAGCAATAATCGATCTATTGTACTTTCCATTGAACTGTTGACTCAGTGACGAATAAAGCATGAAACTCAGGGAGAGATAAAACAGGGATCTTCTCCCTGAGGGACGACACTGAAGTGTTTCATAGTAGAAGTCATGCAGCTGCTTGACATGAACTAACTTAGTTGTTTCTATGGTGGGATGTGTGACACTGGGGAGCAGACCCCCTTCGGCCTTGTCCGGATTGCTCTGGTAGTGGTGCCCTTCTTGTATGTGGGGACTCAGATCAGCAAGAACTTTGCTGCGCTGCTGGAGGAGCACGACATCTTTGTGCCCGAGGACGATGACGATGATGACTGAGGGGTCTGTTGGCTTCCTGGTTATCAGGTATCAAATCAGTGGCTTTGGTTGTGGGCTTCACTGTGAACTGTGGCAAAGCGCACACACGCACGCACACACACACACTTGAGCAGTAGTTAGCACACTTAAGATCCTCTAACCTAGAGGGGCCCCTCCACTAGATAATGCACCAACACTACATATAGAGCTCAAATATTTCCTGTTCCCAGCCAGGATGAATAAAGCACAACTCACAACATGTAAAATTAGTCTGACTAACAACACAAGATCTTTCAGCTCACTCATGCAGCTGAAATGCACCAGTAGAGAGAGGAAGAGAGCAGCATTCATCTTTGTGTCCGTGTGTGCTTCATTCTTTTCTTTGTTGCTAATTCTGCAGGTGTGTTGGAACAGTCAGATTTGAAAGTTGTGTCAGTGTGTTTTGCTATTTTAACATAATGTTCTGTAAGCACCACTCACACCTCTTTTCTCTTTTCCTCCTCAGATCATGTTGCGTCACTACTACTGGGAGGAGTCTGAGCCTGTGAGCAGATAAATGCCTTCCTCTGCTGTGTTGTCAAGTCTCTTCAGTCTGCACTGCGTTCAGGGCTTCATGCTGTTATCGACACCGGGAATGAGCTAAACTGGTCAAAGCGTACTGTATTTGCATGCACTACTTTAGTTCTAATAAAAGAAATGACAGTTTAAGTGGATGTCATCTGTGCACTCAAACATCCCACAGTCAGTCATAGGAATTTGAATGCTGCCCCTTTAAGTTTATTCCTACAGAGATATGATTGGGAATAAAAGACAAACCTTCAGCCATGTGAGAGTTAAGTGTGTATTTACAGTACAGGGGAACATCTGATACACTGGAAACAAGGAAAGCGGGGTCAGAGATCAGCAGCTACACAGTTCATTGGTCATGACCCCGGTAGAATTTGGACAGGAAGTCAGTGGGACGAGGCTCTTCGGTCTCGTTGAAATAGCGCATTATGTGGGTCTTCTGCTTCCAGATGTTGATAGTTTCCTCGAGTTCCATTTTACCCTGCAGATTTAAAAACATGCACACAGAAATAAGTCACAGCCAACTATCTCATTCATTAGAGTTTGGGTCATGATATTGGTTGATACAGTACACGGAGTGATGCAAGCCTCTTTTTTACCTTAATGACCAACAAGTCAATCACACGGGGGTCAGTGACGTGCTTGTTCTTGTCGAACATCTCTCGCACTTTGTCTCTTCCCTGACGTGTTGTGATGTCCAGCTGGAAAACTGCAACTGTGGACAAAAGAATGCAAAGAAAGTCACTGTAAGGAACACAGTCACACTATTCTTTATTAATTTTTATTTTTAAGACCAAGGCTGGTGTCACTTCTGTACATCACAAGACGTAAACTTATTTTCAAACCCTAAACAGCTCAGAATAAAAATGAACATCAGGTTGTGCAGACATTTCATAACAATCCTCTATAGTTAATGTTTTCTAAACTGTGTGAGATACACAACAAAGATATTTTAATTGTAATTCTTAACAAACATGTCAAATAAAACTTTAACAACATTGACAGACCGATAGCAAGTCACAGTTTACTCACTGAGGTTTTCAAGGGACAAATAAATACGGACAACAATCAACAGTGCAACGTATTAACGCAAATATTCGTTACTCGTGACGATATCAATGTTTTTGTGAAACGCAGAAGAGAAACATTGATTTTTAGCGGTTAGCTTGAAGCTAATGTTATGCTAACCCTCCACAGACACACGACCTTGACGCTGTTTTCAAACTCCTCTCATCCGCCTCGGGGCTCACCTGAGTTGGGCACCTCTCGGTACCAGGCTCGGTACAGCTCCCGGACCCGGCGCTTCGCTTCGTCCAGGTCTCGGCTTAGAAACGGTTTGACAACTTTCGCCGCACCGGCGGCCGCTCGGGTCGCACATGTGGACGCCATGACAGCTGCCGTTAGAGCGCTTCCGCTGTGGCTCGCTCGATGGTGTAATTGTGTTGACTGACGCCGCGGCGCCACCTGGAGGCGAGGCTGGTTCAACACAGTGGTGCAGGTCAGGTTGACAAGTTCAACTTCTGAGCTTTTAAAAATTCTTATTCTTTTTTTATTTACGTTTTTTAAAATGTAAATGAAGTGGACTAACTGTTAGAAATACATTTAAAATGATTTAAATACACGATAAAAGTGAAAATTCACAGTTTGTCTCCTCACCACCGTGCTGACGGAGGTGGTGCGTGAAGTGTTCGAGTCCACAAAACACGTCTGAAGTAAATGGTGACCGAAAACAACACGTTGCTGCTGTGGTGTCATTCAAGTGAATCCAGAGAAAAGGTTTTCTCCTTAAATCACTTCACACAAGACAAATAAAAATCTGTGACATTAGTCAACAAGTCTGACTTACTGAACAAATCTTTGCTCAGGTAATTATCCATCAACAGGTGAGTGTGCAGAGTTACCGTCTAAAATGCGTTCACGGTTTTTATTTAAGCTGTAGGTTTCCTCCAATTTTTGACCAGTTGTCACTTTGACCTCAAAGATAAACTGGTTAGATTTGAGTGGTCAAAGGTCAAAGGTCATATTTGGTCATATTGTCAGGAACGTCTGGAGGGACTGAAGCTGAACTGGACAAACAAGCTAAACAAGACAAAAGACCCGAAGTGTTTTTATGTTGAACTTTTTTATTGATTGCAAAAATGTGTATAATTTACAAAGACGATACAGGTTCTTCGGTACATTAAATATGAAACCGTTTTCAAAAGGCAGGTAGATAAGTAATTTTATCACAATACATACTGTCCATAAAAAAAAAAAAAATTGGCTCATCAATGCAACACCTGTCATTTGTTGTGGTGGAGGAACATAAACTCCAACAACGATCAGGCGCAACTGGAAGCGTCTCGGCCGAGGTTTCACACAAAGATGAAGACATCTGTGATGTGGGGCAACATTCATTCAACAGCTCTCACAAGCTTCCGCAGAGAAAGTTGATCCTGGATAGGATTCTATACAAGTGGAACAACTTTCTATTCAGCTCGCCAGGAAGTAGAAATGTTTGCTGTCTTGTCCTGTATTGATCCCAAGTTTTGTTCTCAATGCTGCAAGATAGAAAATAATAACACCACGTGATAAGCTCCCGTTTGTAAAGAAACGAGGGCGGTTTTCACAAAGAAAACACTGAATGAAAAGCTGTACAACAGAAAACTGAGATGACAGTAGCTCTTCTGTAACTGTGCTGACTCCTGCTGCCTCAGGGAGAAGACACAGTGGCCATGAGAAAAAAAAAAAAAAAGCTGATGCAGCATGAAGTCTTTATCTACAACACCTGATAAAAAAAAAAAAAGATAAAACATGCCACTCAACAAATGTCCCAGTTCTAAGACAAAATGTGCACTCATACACGCTTTCACTCACAAAAGCAAAAGCTCCAATAAAAAAAATGAAAAAGTGCAGTTTTATATATCATGTGTGGCCCAGTGTAATTAAACCAGCTAATAGCTACTCTATGCTGCTCGTTGGCAGAATGATTGAAAACTAAGGCACCGTCATGGCCCCCACAGCTGGAACTGTACAAATCCAACAGTCGGCCCCTCTGCTCCTCAATCTCCTCTCCTCTCTTTGTTTCAGTCACCTGCAGACACACGTAAAACATCGAGAGAATTAAAATGTGGTGGGTTCTTCCCTGACGCATACTTGATCCTTCCACCGCGTTTCGTGTTATTCTGTCCAGTAGTTTTATCGTAATCCTGCTGAATCACAATCAAACAAATGCAAATGGAGAAGGTGTGAACGTTCATCCACACCTGTCACTGCATCTTCCAGCACATTAGTACCAGCAGCAGGTTCTCAGTGGTCCAGGCTGTTGCCCAGTTTTTGTCCCTCCTGCAGAGCAGCCATGGCCAGCCTCAGGTGCTCCTTTAGACTCTGGATCTCTCGCTCGCTCCGGCCCTTCATGCCACTCAGCTCCTCGTGCACCTCCGTGTATCGTTCACAGGCCAGACGTTTCTCCTGCGGAGCGAAGAGCGACAGACGGGATTAAGTTCCTACTTCAGAGATCGACCAGCTCATGTGTTTGTATATTTTCTGTCCACATTTGGTAAAAGTGTTTAAAATTATTTGAAATGAAGATTAATAAAAATTCAATATTATTAATCTAACCAACCATCAACAACAACACACGCGTGCGTGCGTGCGTGCGCACACACACACACACATATTACCGTGTTGAGAAACTGCAGTTCATTCCTTAAGCAGCTAATCTCCTTCTGTAAGTAATCTATCTCGTTTTCTTTCACCCTGAGAAGAACCTGGGAGAAAAACAACAAACACAACATATTTCATGACCTCAAATCCTCATTTTAGTCATTTATACAATATTAACTAACGAGTGCACATGAGAAAGTTTTAGATTTGTATCCTTTAACTGTCTGACATCAAATGAACTAAAACACGGGTCGAATTATCACAAAGGACGTTTTCAGCTTGTTTTAACAACTCAGACTTTGAGTTTGAGCGGAGAGAAGTTTTATTTTTCAGTCTCTTGTCAATATTTAAATATAAATATACAATAATAAGGCTTTTAATGCAGTGGGTCAGTGTCTGTCACTTCAGAAAGTTCCAGAACACTTTCCTCCTCGTCTGGCTTCAGGTTTGAGTTTAGACTAGAAGAGCTTTTACCTCGAGTTCACAGGACGTCCTGTCTTTATTGTCCTTCGAGCCCTGATCTACGGTGGATCGTACACGGCTCATCTCCTCTGTCAAACGGGCCTTCAAGTCCTGCCGAGGAAAACATCTTGTTTTAAAGACGGCGCAGAGAATGTCCGCACAGAAGCCTCTCATTCGGACATTTGCATTCTCACCCGTCCTGTTGATTTGAGTTTGTTTCTACACGACTCACCTGGTTCTCTTTCCTCAGCTGCTCCATGTCTCTTTCCTTGCGGCTGATCTCTCGCTCTCTCTCAGCGCTGCTCTGCTCCGCTCGATTCAGCTCCAGGCACTTCTGAGAGTAGCGCTCAGAGAGTCCGGCCAGCTCTCTCTGAAGGGACTGGGTTTCTGCCCTGGACCAACACAACATCACAACTAATTAAACTCTTGTAGAAAAGTAATCAACATGTGTTAAATATGCAAAGTGCTCCTTTACTCTCCCCTTCACTCCCTTAGCCTGTAGGTATATCATATCATTACATTGTATGTATCACATTAAACAACAGCAACAAGAAAGTATGACTGTGTTTTCCATTTTCATGAGGAAACTATTTTCTACAGTGGTTTTAAAAACCTCCTTATTGCCCATGACCAATAACCACAAAAATAAGGAAGAGCATACAAGCTGCTAAAAATAAAGAATATAAAACGCAGAGTAGGCAACACAGATAAGCCCTAAAATGCAGGTTCCAATAGCAGCGTCAGTGACAGCGTTGTGTCAAAGGCCTTGTGAAGCTTACAAAGGAAAACTAATCCATGACCAAATTCTCCTACATTCCTCAAGTGCCTCGCAGGGCCCAGCAGCCGCTGCGGTAATGGCCTTGCATAGACGAGGAGCCCTGGATTGCTGAAGACTCTGCAGACTCTACCTTTTATTTCTCAGAAAAACCCTTTTGTGGCTGACCAGCTCCCACTTAAAAGCACAACTGAGCTATTCACATAAATGACCAGTGTTGGCCTGCACTGCTGGAGACTGAGGGACAGGCTACAATCCAGATTTTATATTCAAGGCAATATAGAATTAAGGCTTCCAGAGGGCAGCTCTTTCTATGTTTGTATTACTGATCCGCACATTCTGTGTTACACACCTCCATCTCACTGATTTGACGTCACTTACTGTTGCTGAGCTCGTAGGGTCTGTGAGTCGAGCACTCCGCTGCTCAGCCTCTTCACTCTCTCCACTTCTCTGTCCAGCTCCTCTTTGTGTTTCTTCTTCAAAGCCTCCATCACTGGAACACACAAACACAAGAGCGACACAACGTCTACATCATCGCCGACGACAGCACTTTGTTTTGAGTGGGAACAGACGTGGATAAAAGAAATCGAGATAAACTGAGCCAAAAGAAATGAGAACACTTTGTTTTTCAGCCTCGCATACAATAATGTAACCGTGGCAACCTGCGCCCCCTGTTCGCTCCCAATCTCCCCTGCATTCACATGTGAGCGGCCGTGCATTTAAAAGTCAGGATATATACATAATACTTTAACTTTGACACTAAAACAAGTGTATTATCAAAATACTTTGTATACTAAGATTATATTTAACACCTTATAGTGGAAGTGGAATGAGAGTGGAACTCAAGAGCGAAGACGTCTACTGATAAAACTTTAACTTTAAATACATTTAATAAAAGTGGTTCGACAAGAAAAATAACCCAATGACAACACAAGTTGAAGTGACCACTGAACTATATTTTAACTTTGAACCTAGTTCAGCATATACCGGTAAAAAGCAATTAGTGCTGTAGAGATAAAATCATGGCCACCTTCATTGTGTTATAACAACTGTCTTGGTTTTCTACATCGGCTGCTGACCTCGTGCGGTGTCCTGAGTCTCCTCCAGCAGCCGCCTGTCCTTCTCCGTCTCCAGCTCCTTGATCTGGCGTTCGTGTTGCCTCTGCAGCTCCTCCAGCGCCTGTCTGTGAGCACGCTCCATGGCCGCCAGGCTGCGGCCACATGGAGCGTCTGGGCCGCAGCCACCCCGCACATCCCCTCCTCCACCCCCTCCGCCTCCTCCTCTTCTCCCCCCCTGTTGTAGTTGCTCCAGCTGCTGCCTCAGTGACGCCACCTGAGGAAAGACGAGCACGGAGGTAAAGCCCACTGAGCGACGGAGGTGGCGGACAGAAGCAGATATATGAATCGGCCTGCATGTCATCGGTACACAACCTTAGTGCCACGGTCTACAACCCAAGATTCAAACCAAGCTGCACAACAAAACACACAAAGAACAGAGGAGGTTCAGCAGCATCTTCCACATGAGAGTATATATTCTTCTCCTTTTGTTTTTCATGTAACAATGGAAAACACTGCTGAAGAAGAAAAGCCAGAATATAGTGACTCAAGTGTTAAAAGACAGAAACAGGAAATGTCAACTTCATCCGAACAGATGAAGGGATTAATTTGCATTTTTATCTAACTTGCAAATTGGAAAATCATCTCCACGCACTACCTCCCTCTGCAGCGCCTCATTGGCTGACTGGCCGGAGAGCCTTGATCCAATTGAGCTCATCTCTTTTAGCGGCAAGCGTTCAAACTCCGCCCACTTCCTCTCTATCTCGTCCTCCATGCGTAGCCTTTGGTTCGATCCCACGCCCGTGCCCTTTCTGGACAGCAAGGCCTCCCACTGGCTGCTCGTGTTCCTCTCCTCCTGCCACTGGCTCTCCCTCCCCTGCCCTTCTCCTGCCTCTCGCTGGCTGGCTGGAAGAGGACCGGAGGAGGCGGGAACGGGCGACAGCTCGACGTAGTCAAACCTGCGCTGAGGCACGGAGGATGGAACGTCTAATTGATCATTGGCATGGCGTGATGACGGGCGACGGGAGGACAGCAGGAAGCGTGAATGGGAGTTTTCCTTGTCGCTGCTGCTGTCAGGTAATCTAGAGATGAGACAAATGAATGAATAAAGATGAATAAATTCTTCTGGTCATATTTTACAATCCCATAAAGAATTAACTGATCAATCACAAATTATAAGTACGTCACAAAAAAGTAAATCTAGGCTCTCAAGGCACAGCTGGAGATGAGTCATATGAAAACACAGAACACTGTGTTTACTGTCACTCTGAGCTCTTTACAGGACTTTGATTCATCTGCATCTGCCAAAGTATACAGCAGCTACAACAGGGGCAAAGTTGCTGGTGCATGTAGGCAGCAGAGCCTCTTATCTGCCTGTGTTTATCCAAGGCTGAGCTGAAATGAGCTAATCGAAAGAATGCAACAACAACCGGTGTTAAAATAACGAGCGTGAGCAAACACTTCTAAACTAACTTGAAAATAAGGTGGACATCTTCCTCAGATGCAGCTTTCAGAGGCAAGGAGTTGAGTTTGATATGAAATAGAGAAGGTGTTTTCAGAGACTGAGACTGAGAACCTCTGCATCTCCTAAAAGAAAAAGCTGAATTCCTGGATGCCTATAGAGTCATTCTGCTTTTTTAACCCACAGAATTTTAACATTTGAGCCAAGACAGCTTAACATCACTGTTTGACATGACTTCATACTGCATCGAATACATAAAAAAAACATCTGTCCTTCTGCTTTTATTAGTTTCTGACTAATTCCTCCAAACTACTGCATCTCTAAACTATCTCTTTAATCAAATCACACACACTAAGGATTTTATATGTGATCTCTTTTGATAACATGTTTTCACTTCCATTCACTGAGGCTACATCCACATTACTACATTTTCATTTGAAAATGCATCAGCTCTTCTACAGATGTGCCTGAGCCTCCCTTAAACCTTCCGGAGCCAAGTGCCTCACATGTGATCATCAGCTCTAAATATTTAAAGTTTTGAAGGTGCCTGTATTCATTTTTTAAGATTGTGTGGTAATTACTGTGTGAGGTCTGGGGAGCTGCTGGGTCGTATGCACTTCTTTAAAACCTCTATCCAGTTCCGCCTGATCCCAGCCGTCATGGCGGACAGCGTGAACACGGCCTCCCTCGTCTGGAGAGTAAAAGAGGAAACGGGTTAATGAGACTCAGAGATGTGATGGAGACGATAAAGGAGAATTGAAAGGGACGGACACAGAGAGAGGTGCAGGAAACACTGAGAGAGAGAGAGAGAGAGAGAGAGAAGTCTACGAGGCAGCGACAGCTTGGATGTGGCGAGGGAAGACAAAAAGAAGAAAAACAGTCCGGTGAAAGAGGAGAAGTGATAACAGAGATATTAACCTGTATCTGAAAGCCGTAGTTCTTCTCCACGTCGAACTCAGACACCTTCACACAGGATTTTAGGTCAATCTCTCCGTCCATATCATCTTTCTGCACAGACACACGGAAACAGGATATGTTCATTGTCACAAAAGATACAATGAGCCTGTTTGTGCTCGAAATGCTCCGACAAGCTTATTTTTATTAAACACCATTTCTATGCCCATTTTTTAAAAATTCACATACGCAACAAACGAACATAAAAGAGGGAAAACGTACCTCCTCTGCACTGGAGTCTCTGTAGTACTTCAGTCCAGCGTCCGTCAGAACAAACCAGTGCTTCTTCCACTGAATACACAAGATATCAATTAATCCAAGACTGAACTGGGATCTTCAAAACCATGTTTGCAACTGACATTTGACAATGCGACAGCAGGGGGGTATTAACACCCAAGACTGACAGCACACCACCGTTCTCGAGGGATCGAGGCGAGAAGGTAGCGAGGAGAGTGGAAGAGGTGGATGTGACATGCGACGGGAACACTGTGCTTTACCTCTCCACTGTCGTCCAGCTTTGACATCCATCCCTTTTTGAAGTTCAGGAGGTCCGGCTGCGAGGGAAGAGAGGGACACGGCGTCACGTTCACTGACACACGTTTGAATGTTTGACAAAAATGTTGCTCAGCCTGAAGGACAGAAGTGTGAAGCTGACAACAAGCTCACGTTAAAGGTCGGAACAATACAACAGCAACCCTACACAAGAGATAAACAACAGCCGCACCAGCGCAGGTTTACAATCCTGTACACGAGAGAGCAGATATAATACAGCTGACTTATTCTGACACAAACCAGTTTCTGTTGTGGAGAAACTCACTTTCACAAAGTCAGTACTGGAACCAGAAACTGTTTACACTTTATACACGTTGTGTGTAGCTGTACGTTTCTTGGAGCACGTCGACAGTGAAATATTATGTAGTTTAGTACTTCACTGTGTATTCTGGTACTTATTGTGTATCGCTGTATATATAGTTTTTATTACATTTTATGTTTACCACGTTCTATTTTGAGCTATTTGAATTCTTCGTAACTGTTTTATTGCTGCTTCTGTGACGACCTTGACATGCTGCTGTAACACAACAATAAAAAAATAAAACATTATCATTTTAAAATCACTTTATTATCTCAAGAAGTATTTCAGTTTGAGTATTCACATAATGTATATTCGAGCGATAAAGCAATAACTCAGTCTGAGCTTACTTTTGCTGTACAATCTGGTGCTAATCCAAATAAAGACCTAGTGATTTGTGTGTAAAAAGTGTTTGTGTGTTTGTTCTCTGCTCATAAAGAAGAGTTTAAAACCACAATCAGTCTTTGAACTTAAGACAGAGATACTGTATGTGAGTCTCTCAACATCGGGTTTCCTCCAGGCTGCTGTTCTGTTGCACTGCAACATGCAAGACACGCGAAAAAAGAGAAGTGGCTTCAAAAATAACGGCGCATATGAGGTGTAAAAAAGGACAGGAAACAAGTGAGACTGCACAGAAGAAGTAACACCCAACAAATATCTGAAGACAACCGAGAGAAGATGTTGGGAGGGAGGAGAGATTTGACAACTATAGAGATCTTCACACCGGTGTCTACAGCCCTGCTTCTGCTGATAACTAAACACCGTGTCACACATTGTGAAATATCATGTCTGTTGCTGCGGCTGTGAGGTGGCATGATGATGCATCAAAACACGTCTCCTTTGCTTCAGACTCGGTACCTCAAGATGCCGCAATCTCCCAGATTAAGATTAGGCAACTTTTTCCCCCTCAACATACATTCCTGCCTCCTCTTATCTCTCCTTCACTGGCATGTACATTCCTCACTTTTAAATCTCTCACTGCATTCGTCATCTCATCTCATCTCCCCCTGGACTCTCTCATTCCCATCACCTCAATTTCCCAGAGTTGCGACTGCTTGTTCGTCTTCATCTCGGGTTTCAGTTCGGCTCCCTCTTTGTTTGAGCTCTTGATACAGTTCCTCGGGTTTGTTCTGTCATCGCCAAACACCCTCGCTCTGTATTTACACTCTCTTCCTGGCTTGGGTTGCGTCCTCGTAAACCACAGCTCCACCCAGTTTTGCTCTGTGTAATCCAGTTCATCTACGCTGCTGATCTTCTTTAATCTGACACGTTTTAAGGTCTGATGGCTGCCAACAGGCCGTGCAAAGGGAATTATTGAGCAACACCATGTTAAGAATCACGAAATCCAATTTAATTTCCTCTCAGCTCCAATAAATGATGTGGCATTGTAGCGCTGGGTTCTCCACACACACACGAACAATGGCTGCATCATCGGGTGTTGACTATAAATATAATAGAAACGTTATTTCAGAGAGCTGTACAAGATAAATGGGATTTTAAAGGATTCATCACTGCTGACTACATCTTCCCTCCTTGTTTTTTCCTCCCTGTGTGTGTTCACGAGGGAATGAACCGCCGCAGCATGTTGCAATGTGCCAAACGTCATCATAAATTTAACTTATCTAGTCCATACATGCCCACGAGCAGGGTCAGGGAGCAGCCACGGAGGAGCAGGGGGAAACTCAGAGTAGAGAATGACTGGATCTGTTCAGAATAACCAGGATAACGTAACAGAGCTTCTTCTTGTTTCATGCTCTCAGATCAGTGGCCAGAAAACGGGTCAGAGCAGCGGTGACCGTTTCAGACAACGTCCTCTCTTCCTGCCTCCCTCGAGTATAGAGGAGTATTGTCTGGTGAAGTCAGCCTCGTCCCTTAGGTCGAGTACAGCATGTATACTTCTGTTCAGTTCATCAGATTCGCTCTGAAACTTTGTGCTGAGAGCTCACAAATCACACCGACGCATATCTTAATGTGTTATTTTATGAAACCAGTTGCAGTGTTTTCTTTCTTTTCTTGTCTTATGTGCAAACAGCTGGCTCCAGCAACTGAAACCTACGAGCCCGTGGCTTCCTGTTACTGTAAACAAAACAAGGTCAACAGATGTCAGTGCTACACACCTGGAAACTAGCACAAGAAACACACACGACCTATCTTAACTGAGTACACACACACACACACAACACAGAAAAACTAATTCAGCTTTTAGTTTGCTGCAGTTTGGAAGCATCTCTGTTAAGGTGATACAGCCAAAGATTATAATAAACGTCACATCATTATATTATAGGCAGAGATCGACAAACACGTAAAGATACCAACAGTTTATTTCACAGTATAGCCACCGTTTTATTCTTAGACATAGAATACAAACCCAACAATTCAATCACAACTAATCAACTTTTGACTGAAACTCCAGATATCTGTAATTGAATTATGCTTTAAGTCCACATATGCCACTTTGATTTGCTGCTTTTCTAATTTATTGTGGATATTGATCAATAGAACAAAAGGTAAATTGGTGTGTTTTACTTTGTTTAAAACATTTAAGTGTTTGTCATTCTCTGCTCATAAAGAAGGATTGAGAACCACAACGTTCACTCGGGAACAAAAGTTGTTGAACTTAATCTAAACAATAATGTGACATTTATCCTGATAATAATCAACACTGACCTATGTGAACTGTTTTGACATCATTTTGCCCAAACTTACACAACAATGTGTATTTTGATCTTTCAACACTTCAGTCAGAAGCAAACATGAGCGACAACGTGACATTTATCGCGATATAAACGATACCAAATGTCCGACCATATCGTCCAGGACTAATCACAACATTCCACATGTTTAACTATTGACACGTGTGTAGAAGCTAGTAACACTGCGATTTCACATATTTAGAATTACACAACATACGTCATAACATTTAAAACACATGATAATAATAATAATGGGACATTTATCCGGATTATTACCGATATCCACTGATTGGAAGTTTGAGACATAACTTTTGACATACTGCCTCAAACCTACACATGATGTATGCCGCGATCACTCAACCCTTCACTCGGGAGCAGCAACGTGACATTCATCGCGATAATAATCGACCCATCGATCAATATCGAGTATCGCGCAGGTTGACGGACACGTTTGAATCAGAAGTGTTCGGTTCAGGAGGAAGTGACAGACAGGAAAAACACGGAGAGCTCTCAAGGTGCAACAGCTCTTACCGTCATGGTGACAGGATCCGGAGGGTTCGAACACAAAGGAAAACACCGTGAACACAAACTACTCTTCTCCTCCTCCTGCTCCTTCTTTCTCTCCTTCTTCTCCTTCTTCTTCCTCTCTCTCCCTCCTCGTCTCTTTTTTTCTGACGTTACTTTGTCGCAGTGTCGTGAATCAAAGGCGCCGCCGCCATTCAAACCCGCGTTAGATCTCCATGACGCGTGACCTCCTCCGGCTCCTGCGTTAACGTCTGAAAAGTGCGTGAATCCGCCCCGCAGGTTAAAGTGCGGAGGAGCGGTGCTTCCTCCACTTTCTCTCTTTGTGAATCTAACGTTACGTGGGACCTGGCTGCTTCTCTCTCTCTCTCTCTCTCTCTCTCTCTACTTCCTGGGCGGATCCGTCCGGAGGATCGGTGGGGAACATGAAGCCTCCGCCTCGAGCAGCCACACGGTGCAGGAGCTGCAGCCGGGGGCCCGAGCTCCTCCAGCGGGTGAGAGGACGCAGCTCGAGGGGCCCCTGGTCCACGAGGAATGTTTTA